TAAGACGGTTTTGGAGCTATACAGCTTTAGATAAACTTTCCTCCTCTAGGACTTAGTTTTCCTATTAGTAAAATTGGGATAATACCTGAGTCTGGCTCAAAGTGCTATTATGAGTGCATTCAGCACTACTTGCCTTGGGCTAGCAAACATTCAAATGAACAGCAGCAGAGCTGAGATGAGAATCACAATTATCTGTCTCAGGCTGGAGGGGGGTGTAGGGCCTTCCGCAACAAGAGGAAGGACCATGTCTATAGTCATCCCCAGAAGAGGAAGAAAAGGGGGAGGTGCACACACCAAAATGTTTAATTACCTCTGGGTGATGCGATTACAAGCAATTTTTGTTCTGCTTTCTTTGTGTGTGTGCTTTTCTGTACTGGGTATATACAACCTAGTAAGAAAAAAGTTCTATGCACTTAAAAATCTGATCCATCACCTAGAAGCAGTATCTAGCACATAGTTAATCCTCTATAAATACCTATCAAATGAAGGAATGTCTACACTGTGTTTAGTTTTGTGGGCATGTTTATGTGCATTTTATTTCTTTGCTTCTGAGAATCACTTCTTATAGGGCACATTATTATTATGCCTAGAAAATGAGGTTGAGTTCAGAAATAACAAAATAGGAACAAAGCTGGAACTTAAAGCCAGAACTTCTAACTTTCCAAATTCAGAGTTTTCTTACTATACTACGGAGCACTAAAAATGGACTCCTATTCACATTCCCAAGTCAGAGAGTGGAATCACTTGCACACTGTCTGAGAGGGAGAAAGCAAAGAAAAATAAAGAAACATAACTTTTTTTTTAAGTTTTACTCATCCTTTCAAAACCATGGGGAAAAAAACCTGAGTACAGTATATCTATTTGTTTACTCCTGAATTAATTCTGTAAAATAAATAACTACTGTCTCTATTTTACAGATGAGTGAACTAAAATATATAGAAGTTAAATAACTTGCCCAAGATCACACTGTTAGTAAAGCAGCAGATCCAGGTTTCAAAACCAGACAGTTTTGAAACAGTAAGATCAAGGAGTAAGGTCAAATAAGTTTTAAAAAAATAAGGTCAAGAAATTAAAGAAACAATAACCTGGAAAAGATAATGATATATCTTATCTCAATTCAAAGGATCAATAAGCCTTCATCTATGGAACAGATAAAAGCATGTTCTTGATTATTTGAAATTCTAATATTTACAAGCAGTTATTTTTTCTTGTTAAATACCACTGTAAACCTGTATTATTAACATTGTTTTATTTATTTTAATGTTTATTTATTTTTGATAGCGTGAGCAGGAGAGGGGCAGAGAGAGAGGGAGACACAGAATCTGAAGCAGGCTCCAGGCTCCGAGCTGTCAGCACAGAGCCTGACGCGGGGTTCCAACTCAAAAGCTGTGAGATCATGACCTGAGCTGAAGTCGGACACTGAACCTACTGAGCCACCCAGGTGCCCCAACACTGTTTTAACAAATATATTCAGCTTTCAACTACAAGAACTTTACAGCACTGTTCTACAGGAAGTGCTTCTTAGCTATGTAAAACAAAAAGGCTAAAACATTAGTGGTTGTTTTTTAGCAAAGAGCACATATCAAAAGAAATACACCATCTCCCAAAATGACAATTCCAGCAAAAGACGAGTACTAAGGAAGTTCTCTTTGCTAGCTACCATTTACATCACATAGGGACCTTTAAAAATAACCAATACGCAGCACCCACTCCAGACCAATTACATCAGATATCTGGGGATGGGTATAAGTTTTTTTTTTTTTTTTTAAAGCTCCCCAAGTGATTCTAATGTGTAGCCAGGGTTGAGAACCACTGTTCTAAGGAAATCTAAACCCTCTGTTATTACTTCACGCAGAGCTTTTGTCCATAATGGTCTGAAAAAGTATTCAGTCAACTTACTCAACACATTTGCAAACAACCAGGAGAGTAAAATAAATAGGACCCCGCAACTACTAAAAGGGGTATTAACTGTGAGTGCACTTAGCCCAACAGATTAGACAACAATCAAGGCTAAAGGATTCCATTAGTGTTCTGGATAACAGAGGAACTTCAATTAACATATCAAATATGCCAATGACCAATTACTTCTATCTCTCAAACCATAGATTTTACCATCTGTGAAATGGTGCCATAATTTCTAATGGACCCAAGAGCCCAATAATTCAAGAAAAGCAACACTGAAACAAGCATAAACCTTGAAACTAAAAGACCCACATGTATCATCATCTTGAAAAACAAAACGAAAATTAACCTGAACTTTAATGTAGAAATGCTGGCAAAGAAAACATTTTCATACTTTCCGGCAGAGAGTATCCTTGAAAAGTCAAGAATGCCATAAGAACTCTGAAATTCAAACTCATATGCCTACATTTTTACATCTGGCTACTTGTAGTTTCACAGGAAAATGAAATACAGTAAGCTTCAAAATCAAATATAAAAATATCCTGTTGTGTTAATCAAAAATACTACTACAGGTCCATATCCTTTATTCAAAACCCTTGAGGAAATACATTATTTCAGAATTTTTCAGCTTTTAGAAACACAGTACAGTGTCTCTATCTTTTACAAGCCCTTGAGGATCTACAACAACACCAATCATCAAATTAGTATTCCAAATTAATATGCTATATTAATACTATTTTCTAAGTGAGAAGAATAAAGATTGTAAGTAGCCACCTGTTGATACAAGTCACCAAATTATTTTGCTGCAAACATCTGAAGAAAAACTTTCAGAGCTTTGGGTGAACCTATAATTCCAAGATTTCTCTTTGATACCCAAGACACTGCAAACTGAACTTCAGGAAAAAAGTCCCTATAATAAAAACATCCCTTTAATACCACTGTAGTTCTAAAGAAACAACTCAAATTACGGTAGAAACACAAAAATAAAAAATAGCCCAAGTGATGTCCACCAATTTTCATGATGTGAGAATAGCATTTTAAGCATCCACCTTAATTATCACAGTGCAATTTTGAGCAAGACCAAAAAAATACGTTATTAACATGTACACATTTACTGACTAAGGCAAGCTTGAGGCAGAGAGCCAGATGTAAAGAAAGGACAAATCAACACCTTTCTCTCTAGCAATTTGGAGACAACAGAGGACTTTGAAGCTAAGCAGACCAGGTTCTGCCACAAAGGAGAAAGTTACTTAAGCTTTCTAAACTGCAGTTTCTTCACATAAGGATAGAGATGATAATAACAGTACCTACTTCATTGTGTTTTCAACAGGATTAAATAAAGTGACATTTGAAATCCATAACTTATATAGTCACTATTAATCCCCTACCACCTTTCCAAAGACCAACTAACTATATGCTGAAGCAGCTCAAGTATAACTTGCCTGTAAGTTATCAGGCAAATTTTATAATACAAAACCGACCATCAAAATAGGACTTTCAAATTTCAAAAGTCCAGTGTAGATTAAAATGACTAATTTCTGAAATCAGCAGCTTCTCGAAACACATTCTATCCAAACCTACCTCTCTCCCAATACCCTTCTGTCTTCCACACACCCAGTTGCACACATAGGGATAGTAAGTGAAAATAAACCACTGTACTCAGAAGTTCACTTTTCACTCAAAATAAAATTAGATTGGCCTAGGTTTGGCAGATAAGGGAAACCATTACAGTATTAAGACTTCATCATTCATATACAACTACTGTCCAAAGAACCCAGATAATTTAAAAACACAGGAAACTAAGGCACAACAGTCCAAAATCCAACTTTCATAAACTATCCACAAAGTAAGAAAACTGGTAACTGTGGGCAGATTTTGCACCCAATGGATATTTAAACTTACCATCAAATGTACAAAAAGATGGAATCCTTTGCTATTTATCCTAAATTCAATTTAATTCCATGATGTAATTCAAGAATTTTACAGAACATGGAGTCTTAAAGCATAAAAAGTTCTGAGCTGATTAAATGCTTCACTGTTAACAACTGCCCCCAAATACAGTATACAACGTGGACAACCTAGACTTCCATCACACTGAATTTGAAGGAAAACGTTTAATAACTCCTATGAAATTGAAAGCTTTCCCTAAATGTTATTACTCAAAAACTACTAGCTAAATAACCTATTAGGGCCTGGCAGTTCCATCAGCTTCAAGAATATCACTTGCCATATATCCTAGTACAGCGCAACATAAAATGCCTCGAAAAGAATCTCTATTATTCTATGTTCTAATCCCATGTGTTTAATGAGAAAAGATTTAGAACTAAAAGCAAATGGACCAGGTACCTCACAACCACCAACGAGATGCACTACCTACACACTTAATCCTTCATTCTTGCACTTTTCCTCCATAAACAGGAAACTCCAAAGAGAAGGAAATAGAGAACAGCCTATTTTTGCTAAGGGGAATAACAGCATTGCTTCCAACCCCACAGCGTGAGTGAACAAATGAAAAAGCAACAGGGGAAAGGCACGGGGGGAGGGGCGGTCGGTGAGCTCAGTTAGGAGTCCTAAACATGCCATCCAGCTCAGACAGTGCCCAAAACATCTGTAACGGCAGCTGCAGCAGAGAAACGGGGGTGTGAGGGTAGAGGGCCGTGGCTTGGGGGCTCGGAGTTGTGCCTGCACGTTCGGCTTCCTCCTTTGCCAACTCTTCTCTCACCTCCCAATTCCCATCCTCCCCAACCCATCCTGCTCCCTCCATATAGAATAATAACCAATAAAATCAGAGGCAGAGAAGACAAAGAAGCAGGAGGAGGCTGCAAGGAGCGTCCAGAACAATGGGGGAGAGGGTGCGAAGCGAAACTCCTGAAAAGGACAATGAAACAAGGGTGGCGAGGAGCCCGGAGAGGAACCAGGGAAACACCGCCGAGCCCGGGCCCCACCAGAGGCGGACGCCTGGACTCCAGGCTCGGCTGGGCGGGCTGTATCACCCGGACGCTGGGGGCTGGGCTAGGCTGGAGCGAACGGGGGCGGCGCGGCCCACAGGGGCCGGCGGGGCCTGCGCGGGTCCGCGGGCAGCTGCCGGCAGGACTCACCGGCGTTCTGGTCGCGGGGCCAGAGGTAGTATGTGGCCGGGATCACGATGAGCCCCACGAATGAGGTGAGGAAATAGAAGAAGGTGTTCCCGCTGTCATCGTACTGGAACTGCTGTCCCGCCATGACACCCCCCCCCTCCGCCGCTCTGTCCTCACCGCCGCCGCCACGACCCCGCTCTGATCTCCAGCACCCAACACCCCGGCCCTGTGTGGCGTAGCTCGGACGCCGCCGCCGCCGCCTCTCCTCCCCGCCCCCACGCTACTCTCACGGACACGCCGCCGCCACCGCCGCTGCCGTCGCCAGATCTCGCGAGAAGAAATAGTTCCCGCCCCACTCGGTTTTTCCCTCCCTCTGCCTCTCCCCAATACACTCGCTAAGGGAGACGTGGCGCGCGCAGCCGTGGAACTCGGCGAGGTCCCGCCCTTGATCCCGCCCCCAAGCCAGAGGCCCGCCCCTCGAGCTCCTGTAGGTCCTCCTCTAGCCTTAAGAGTCCCCGGTGGTGCCTATTCTCCTGCGCCTTCTTTCCCAGCGTCCCACTAGCTGTCTTGAGGTCATTTTAGGGGGGTCCCAGCAAAGACCCGCGGAGCTGTGAGTGCGTGCGGTTCATCACCTGGCTGCTCCTGGAGTCGCAGCTATTCGGAGCAGATCTGAGGTTTCCTTGCCTCTCCCTTCTCCCATCCTTACCTCACCTTGTCTGCCCTCTCTCTTATTTAATTTCCCTGGTTAATAATAACGCTTCTTTAAGTTCCAGATCCGTCCCTCCAGCCCTCACATTTTGAAAACACGGGTCATTCAGAATTGGGCGGCGCAGGGGGGATGGTGGGGGTTTTGTTGTGGTTTGTTTGCAAAGTAATGTTTGCTATTAAAAGATTGCGATCTAAGCTGCGCCCATTTTGCAGATGGAGATTCCCCAAGCCAATAGAGATTGTGGCCTGTACCTCCCAGAGGCAATATTTATAGACACCAGGTCACCAGTATTTTCTTCGTCCCAGGCTGTAGACTGAGACTTCTATTGCTTTATACCATTTAATCGTCGGTAAACCCCTCGGGAAAAATCAAAGCATGCCCTCTCCAGATGAGGAAATTGAGGCTCAGAGAGATTGCCTAAAGTCATGCATAGTAAGAAAAGGTCCAGGAATTCAAACTCAAATCACTGGACACCACAAAGCCAGTGCCCTTGGCCACCACCTTGTCGTGGACCTTAACATTTCCCTGAGAGCAGCTGGCACCCCTTGCAAGGTGTGGGCAGGAATCTGTGTTTCGATGAGGGATGCCTAGGGAAGCAGTCGCTCTCAGGAGACTCTCTCTTGACTGGCTGTGAGGTCCTAGAGGCTGGAGTCAGCTGAGCTGGGAGTGGAGAGGACTGGTTTCCTGATCTGGGAATGACCTGCGCGGTCCCACTGCAGCCCTGGCTGAGACCTATTCCAGTGTCTCCATCTCCCGTCTATCAAAAGGAAAGACCCACCTAACCTACCTCACAGAGTGGTTGTGAAGAGTAAAGGGAATTATAGTGAACATGCTATACAAAGGAAAAACTATGAAATAAGCAAATACCACATTACATTTTCTTACACTATTTTTTTATTATATGAAATTTATTGTCAAATTAGTTTCCATACAACACCCAGTGCTCATCCCAAAAGGTGCCCTCCTCAATACCCATCACCCACCCTCCCCTCCCTCCCACCCCCCATCAACCCTCAGTTTGTTCTCAGTTTTTAAGAGTCTCTTATGCTTTGGCTCTCTCTCCCACTCTAACCTCTTTTTTTTCTTTTTATTCCTTCCCCTCCCCCATGGGTTTCTGTTAAGTTTCTCAGGATCCACATAAGAGTGAAAACATATGGTATCTGTCTTTCTCTGTATGACTTATTTCACTTAGCATAACACTCTCCAGTTCTATCCACGTTGCTACAAAGGGCCATATTTCATTCTTTCTCATTGCCACGTAGTACTCCATTGTGTATATAAACCACAATTTCTTTATCCATTCATCAATTGATGGACATTTAGGCTTCTTCCACAATTTGGCTATTGTTGAGAGTGCTGCTATAAACATTGGGGTACAAGTGCCCCTATGCATCAGTACTCCTGTATCCCTTGGGTAAATTCCTAGCAGTGCTACTGCTGGGTCATAGGGTAGGTCTGTTCTTACACTATTTTTTAAAACTAATTTTAAAGGGTGCCTGGGTGTCTCAGTTGGTAAAGCCTCCCACTCTCGATCTAGGTCTGCTCAGGTCATGATCTCCTGGTTGGTGAGTTCGAACCCCACATCAGGCTCTTCGCTGATGGTGAGGAGCCTGCTTGGGATTCTGTCTCTCCTTCTATCTGTCCCACCCCCCTCTGACTCAAAATAAATAAACATTTAAAGCAAAAAATTTTAGTACAGTCTATTTACTGACTTCTTTTCAATATGTCTTCCATTGTTAGAAGAGGAATCTGGTCACATGTCTTTTATTTTATGTCCTTAAAACTAGCATTTATCATAATCAGTAATGCTTTTCTTCATAATGGATTATGTTCACATGTATTGTCTCTTCCCTTTCAAATGACCTACCATTTTGAAAGGAAATTTTTTAAAATAGTCTTCTTGGGGCACCTGGATGGCTCAGTCAGTTGAGCTGCTGACTTTGGCTCAGGTAAGGAACTTGGGGTTCATGAGTTCAACCCCCACATGGGCTTGTTGATGTCAGCTTGTTGGTGCAGAATCTGCTTCAGATCCTCTGTTCCCTTTCTCTCTCTGCCCCTCCCTGGCTTATGCTTGCTCTCTCTCTCAAAAAAATAAGTAAAACATTAAAAAAAATAATCTTCTCTACATTTCCCTCCTCACATTTTTCTATATAAAGTTTTCAAAGACTACACAGGAGGGGAAAAAAATAAAAAAGAAGTGAGGCGAAGGGGATTGAAGTATGAAGTGAGCACAGCATTTTGATTACCCCAAAGCAGATATGCCCAGAACAATTTGCCTTGCCTCAGAAACAAATTAGCCATAAAATTGGCTCAACTGAAGTGGGTGGGTTCCTGAAGTTTCTTTTGTTTATGTTGAATTTCTTATTCTTTCCAGGTTCTAATAATGCTGAGCTGGTTATTTTTTATTACTCTGATTATATACTTTACTCAGCATTTGTGTAAAGATAATACTTCAGTTTTACAACCTTGTAACAATATAAATTATTGATGATAAATATTCCCCTTCTGACTTTTTTTCTGCAGGAGTAATCTTTTCACTGCAGCTTTGGGGTCATGCATAAGAATGGCTTGAACAGAACTGAACCACAAAATAATATTTTGAACAAATCACATTTATTTGCTAACCTCCAGACCAATCTAAAACATGAATTTTTTTTTCTTATCAAAGCAGATTAAAGAATGTGAAGGGAGGTATTGAAAAGACATTAGGGCTTGATTATGCTCAACTTCAAAATCATGAAAACAATTTTCAAAGAGGAATTGATGGCCGTGGTTTGTGCTTTAGCATTGGGAGCAGGTCTGTGTTTTGGTTCCTCTCTTTTCATGGTATCTTCTCTTTCTAAAGGTATCCTAGAACTTAATGTTACTGAACATGGGTAAACTTGGATCACCCAAATATTCCCCAGAGCAAATCTTTTTTTTTTTTTTAATTTTTTTTTTCAACGTTTATTTATTTTTGAGACAGAGAGAGACAGAGCATGAACAGGGGAGGGGCAGAGAGAGAGGGAGACACAAATCGGAAACAGGCTCCAGGCTCTGAGCCATCAGCCCAGAGCCTGACGCGGGGCTCGAACTCACAGACCGTGAGATCGTGACCTGGCTGAAGTCAGACGCTTAACCGACTGCGCCACCCAGGCGCCCCCAGAGCAAATCTTAATTATAGCCTTAATTAATCACGATTTCTGATTCATTGATGTTTTTATTTATTTATTTTTAACATGTATTCATTTTGGGGGGAGTGACAGAGACAGAGTGTGAGTGGAGGAGGGGCAGAGAGAGAGGGAGACAGAATCTGAAGCAGGGTCCAGGCTCTGAGCTGTCAGTACAGAGCCGGGTGCAGGGCTGGAACTCACAAACCGCGAGATCATGACCTGAGCCGAAGTCGGCCACCTGACCACCCAGGCGCCCCTCGTTGATGTTTTTAAACTAACCCAACAGTTTCTTTCAAGAGATCATTTTAATAAAATACTTAGTAATACTAAGTAAATATGGCAGAACCAGATCTACAAATACATTTTGCTCTTAATCTAATAGCACTTTCTAAAAGGCCTTTTTGTATTCTCACTATGTATCTATAAATGAATATTTTAATCAATTTCATTTCAATTGCTAGGAAGATAATTCCTCTCAAGTGTAGAAAGCCTGACTATTTTTAGGTTCTTCTTAATAATTTACTTTTTCCTTAGAGCAAATCTTTGTTTCATTCCAAATCCTTCTTGTACAGATGGTGTTGACTTACATTTCTACATACTAACATACATTTGTGTGACCATAATCAATATTATTTAATTTTCTGTTTAATGGAATTAGCCTTAACGAGACTGGAAACAACCAAGTTATTAGGTAGGTTCATGCAATTATTTCCAGTCTTTTATTCCTCCCCCCACCCTACAATAATCTTCACTGCCAAAGCCTAGCAATTCATCTTTAATATTAAACCCCTTATTACTTTGTTTCAGAGTTAGGATTTTCTTTCATTAAGAGCTAATTGTTGGGTGCCTGGGTGTCTTAGTTGGTTAACCGTCCAACTTCGGGTCAGGTCACGATCTTGGGGTTTGTGAGTTCGAAACCCTGCATTGGACTCTGTGCTGACAGCTCAGAGCCTGGAGTCTGCTTAGGATTCTGTGTCTCCCTCTCTCTGCCCCTACCCTGCTCACGCTCTGTCTCTCTCTGTCTCAAAAATAACTAAACATTAAAAAATAATAATAACAAAAAATAAAAGAACTAAATCTCTTCTAATACAAATTAACCAATTTCTTTTTATTTGTCCTTAAGAGATGAAGAGTTACCCCCATAGTGATGACAAGAGTAACATCAACAAATTGCTTAACTAAAAAAATATTGATTGACATTGCTCAATAAGCCATAAAAGAGCACTTACTGAAATTTCCCACCCAGATTGAAATACAACTTGGAAGAATGGCCATAAATAAACAGAAGAGTGCACTATGGGTAATTTCAAAGCTATATTTTTAAGAAGAAAAAAATCTCAATAGAGATTAGAACTTCAGGA